GCACAAAATTTCCTGAAGGACAATTGTTGCTCCTACTTTACATATGAGGAAACAGGGGCCTGGAACAGTTATGAGGCTTGTTTGAAGTCGCACAGGTGAAAGGTGGTAGTCTTGGACCTGGGGCCCAGGCCTGTCTGAATCCATATTGTATGTGCCTTCTGTTACTGCACAGATGTCTCCTATTAACCCAAAATTCTAGAACAAATTAAGTAAACAGATGGCCAGAAAGCACTTGGAGACTACAAACAAAGCCCATCATTCTCTGTGATAGTTTCTGATAGAGGTCTGGTAGTTCCAGGCAAGGTTATAGACAAAGACATATATATATGTCTTTCTAATTTGCTGTGACATTTGCCATGCTTTCCATCTTTTTTTTTTTAAGAAAATGGAAATAAATGGAAATATGTGGCTGGGATGAGGGCACAGGTAGGTGAATAATTGTGTGGTGAACAAGGGAGGCTGAAACATGTGTGAATGGATGTAAAACTAGAAGGTGTTGACACGCCACAGCACTCTGTCCATGGCCTGCTCCCATTCCCATGTTTATTTATTCACTCGCCCACTTACTCACTCACTCACTCACTCACCAGCATTTATCCGATGGCAATCATATAGAAGGCCCTATGGTGCAGGGCTTTGTAGTGGATACCCAATGCACCATGAAGATTCCTCTTCAGGGGCGTTCTTGTGCCAGCTGTTGGGGGTGCTCTTGGCAGACAGACCTCAGTTGCTAACAGCTCAGGTCTGCCTCAGGAGCAGACAGCCATCTCGCCAAGGTCACATCTCTTCCTCGCTTAGCTCATATTGGAGTACTAATTGGTACAGCAGTGTACAACTGCTTCCTCTCAGCCAAGCTCACAATAACCATGCAGGAACATTCTAGCACTGGAGGTCCCTTGGATCAATTTAAGCTGTTGCTGGTTATGCAAAGCAGCTCAGTTTTTCTGTCTACTCCACTCCACAGGTGTTAAGCTCAAGGTCACTTCTTAATAAACATCTTTCACACTGAATGTGGAATTGGAGTTGGTCTGCTTTGTGAAAAATGTGTTGGCAAAAGGAAGGGCCTTGCTTTTGTTTATCCTATAAAGAATACAACTACAACCAAGGACAAAAGTTACACATTTGGTTAAATAAAAGAAAGACTGCTATTTCAATAACAAAATAGCCTGCTTCAAAGAACATTGGACTTTGTAAGATAAAGGGTATACTATGATTTTAATAGTTTACTGAAATTTGTTCTGTTCATCCTGCTTTAGGTCACAAACAGCATGGCATCACTGGTACTTATAAGCTATTGATGAGAAAAACTGTAAAGGGAACGTCCTGGATTTAATAGGTTCTAGGAATAATTTTAAAGATAAATGTTTGGGGGAGAATCCTATTTCCTAAAGAACTTCTCCAAATAACCTAAGATTACATAAGACACAGTGGTAGAAACTATTGAAGTCTACTGACAGTGCTTTGTATCTTTGTCTTTCAGGAACAGAATACTGAATTTTAGCTGGCTACAAGTCCAACCAGCAAAAGACTACACTTCCCAGAGCCCCTTGCCACAAATATGTAACTAAATTATAACCAATGAGATCTGCATAGTAGTGGTATGTACAACTTCTGAGTTAAACTCTTTAAGGAAACTACTTGTCATTCATTTTCATGTTCCTCTATCCCAAGGCAGAAATACGGAGTTGCTTGCTGGAGCTAAGACAGCAGCATCTCAGGAAAGATGCAGCTATAATGCTGACAATCCTGGGGTCTTTGGGGACCCTTGGAGTAGAACTCTATTAGCTGCTGGACTTCCTACCAGCTTGGAGTTTTACATGGGAGCGAAATAAGCCATCTACTGTACTTTGAGCCATTATTATTTTAGTCTTTGTGAAAGCTGCTCAACCAGCTTTCTAACCTACATAGACACAAATCAACAGTTCAGTTCTGAATGATGTTTGTCCTGTGCCCTGTGAGCATCATGGCTCATCAGGAGACCACAATATGACAAGAATTGGAATTAACATCCTTTACTCGGAAGTAATCCTTTCATCATCCCTGCTTTTTTTCTACCTTTCTTTGTCTTAACTCACATACTATCTTATTGCTATATAAAATCAAGGTCAAGGTGAGATTAGGACTGAAATTTTATTTGTTGAATGATACAGTAAAATTTTTTGAAAGCAATTTTAAAACCCTGATTTTCCATGTTGTTGAAGCTTTGTTTTGGAAAGGAATAATTTTTCATCAGGTGTATGTTATACATACACATAGATCATTCATTTATTCATTCAATTGCATTCATTATTAAGTAATTTGACCATCTATATATGCAGGGAAACTATTCAAATAAAAGAGCAGTTTATTATAAAAGAGATCAAAAAGGTTACAATTCACAAATAGATACAAATTCACAGACAGATGAAAGAACATGTGAACTTAAAATTTCCAAGAGAAATATAAATCAGAAGTCCAACACAAGCCATTGTTAGGAATAGTTTACCATTCGGAATCTCCTCTGTTTCTGCTGACGCTAAGGATTGATGATTTTATAGCACAAGAACCTAGGTGTCATGAGATATTCTGATGTGTCATAAACGTTTGCTCTATTTCCTTTTTATTATCTGAAGAAAGTATACAAATCATCTGCCTGGAAACATCTAAAACTGTGCATCTCATTTTTCCATTTTTACTAAGGCACTAGCTGGATTTCAGAAACTCATTTATGCGTCCTTGGGTCTGGAGAAAAAGTACTGTGTATGTGATTCATAAACGATACATACACGTGCTATCTAGAAGATGACAAGATTCTAAAACCAAGAAAGTGTTTTCAGTTACAACCTCTCCTTATACTTAGGTATGTCCAAAAATGTGTTCAGCTGTCCCTAAAGTAGTGATAACAGATCACCCTCCTACAGCAAATATTGAAAATTCCAAATATTTACAAATCATAGTATTGGAAGAGTCATAATGTCACTTTAAAAGGAACAAACCAGAGGTGTGGGGTCCAAGAGAGGGAGCAAAAGTATTATTTGGCTTATGACAGAAACAGACTAACTTCCAGGATACTTTTTCTGGGTATCACCATCTAGTCTCCAATATTTTTCCTTTTTACATCAGAATTTTAAGGATATCTCTGATTGACATATTATCATGAAAACAGATGTGGAGAAGAGCCCAGAGTAAGTATCCACCTTTCTTCCTGCACGCTCAGCAACACATCTGGTTGGAAGAATATTTACCAGGTGATTCACACATACTCTTTGTCTTAAAAGCAGTTTATGGAAGTACTGCATATACCAAGAAATGCACAAAAGTATACAGATAAACGAGGTTTTTCTTTTTTTTAACAACTGACTGCACTTATAACCACTATTCAAATTAAGAGGAAAGTATTGCCAGTACCCCGAGTCCTCACACTCCCCCCCCCCATCCATTTCTTTTTTCCCCTAATGTGTGAAGTATATTGTCCTTTACATGGTAGGATTCAGTGAAGCATTTTTTATGACTACATACCAAACATATATTCCTTTAGATAGACGGATCTCTCCTTTCCTGGACTCAGCTAGCCTGCAGCAAATATTTACTACATTTCTGGACGGTTGTGTAGGAAGTTTGCAATCACATACATTTGTTCATTTCATCCTGTGAACTTCTGTCACTTACCCCAGGTAGCTTCCAAGTGCCCACTAAGCTTATTACACCCTACAGAGGAGTGGATATAAATTGGTTTCAGGCATTCAAATAGATTTTTACAGTTAAAAAATAATTCAATACGTGAAAAAAATTGAGACATATCAATTGAAAAGTGAAAATGTGTGCATTGAAAATGCCTCTATTACTAGATATCACAGGCAGAATAAAAATTTAAAAAATATATTTTGCATTGCAGAAGGCGAGAAAATTAATAGTATCTCATGGCTCCCCTTTCAGGAAGACACCTTCAGTGAGTATGTGATTAAAATTTTTTCTGTGGTTGGTTACTATTAGCAATCATTTCAGTTGTCACTCATAATAGTCACCAAAGGCGACTGTGAGTGTTAAGCATTAAATAAGTCGTCATTATAGACTTTCTTCACCCCAGGCAAGTGGAAGTTTATGCTTAAAAGATGACTGTAACTCCTTTTGAAAGGTTAATTGAGATATCTCCAAAAGCATCTTGAAAATGGTTCAGCATTTATCAACCACTCTGTTTGGGGGGAATGCAGGAGGGAGATCACATCTCTTTAAAACAATGCCAAGAACATATCAGCTGTAGCTTGAGAGCCTTTATTTGCTGTTAACAGCTATTTTTAGAAAACAATGGTGGCATTTATCAAACACCCCTGAGAAAATACCTCCAACATTAGAACTTAGAATTCATCTAATAAAAAAAATCAATATCTGGGTAATTTGAGAAAGGAAGCACAAATTATGGAAAAACACTAATTTGAATAATTTAATAGGACAATATGTATATTTGAGGTGCCTTAAGGATGAGAGTATTTAAGATAGTAAGAAAATTAGTGAAGAACATGACTTTTAATATCTATTGAGGCTGCTTTTGATTAATATTTCTTGGAACTGTAGCAATGAAAGTTTATTTTTAAACAATTCCTTGAGGTTCCTTCCATGTATTCTTATGTGATGTATCATAAAAAGGAAACTAAGACGTGTTTTAAAAAATTAGTAAATCTGTGAATTTCTTATTGTTTTTATTACCAAGTCTGCTTCAGAAGTAAGTCTGGCAGTATTTTGCTATTTTTCTTTCTTTTTTAATGTTTGTAGAAAAATAAGTCTAAAGAAAACATGGTTCCATGCAGTTTTACAGTTTGGAAAGCAGAAGAGCCGCAGTACAAAATGAGTGAAACTTTCTTAAGCCACACTGAGCTGTTGAAGGTTTATAAGGGTCACAAAAGGTGGTGACCATTTGCAGCCTTCAGTTTCAGGAGTTTATGATTGACAACACATTGAGGCAACACAGCTCTCTGCCCAACAACACTAGAGCATATCACTAAAAGAACACACAACCCACTCACCACCGGTGAAGGGGAAAGCGCAATGTTGCCTATCGATGCCTTCAGTTCATCTACGGTAGCAGCATTCTTAAGAATGTCTTTAGATTGCAATGGTTTAATCTTGATATTAAATTTCTTGTGTGACTCTTCTTCCTCTTCTGATTCACTTGAAGAGTAAAAGTGCTTTCCTTTGGTAGGTAGAACACAGTTAAAGATACACAACTCATTTTTTTACTGGGAGGCAATGACAAGTATAAGACAAGAGTGATTACTTGTATAGACAGCAAAAACATTTTTAGATGAAAGAAAATAGAAGCAAAAAAAATTAAAAAAAAAAAACACAAGCAAAAATAAAAGAGGAAAGGACTGGGACTGATTCACCCTTCCTCAGAGCATGATCGAGGATAATGAACTCCAAGGAGCAAGAGTTATAATGTCCTCCATTTTTGCTGCAGTTGTGACATTACACTGTACTCACATAGACAAGCACACATGACTACAGGCATCTCAAACAGAGAGAAAGACTACTTTATGGAGAATCTGTCATGAATTTAAGCAGCTGCAGAGTGTGGATGCTTTGCCCAGAGATGAACTACAGGAAGACAGTGATGGCATTTTCCAGGCACTACAATGGCATTATCATGGCAAATTGTAGGCACAGTCCAGCACCCGCAAAACTTGCACAACTCCTTTTTAGTCTATTTTTATATTTTTTATATATTTTTCTCTTTCTTGTCTCTTTTCTAGACTAGACCAAGGCAATGCAACTGCTTGTTGGTGAGCACACTGTTATCTGTGCTTCTCATTCATCCTAATACAAGAATAAAATGATTTGAAGAGCTCAGGTTGTTTCCTCACCTTGTAAAAGACTGAATTTATCTTATTGTTTCCTGGAAGAGAATAAAAGTCTGAGTAAAGAAATAAAGAAAGGATATAGCCGGGTTCTTCAGGTCTGATGCTGTAGCCTTCTTCATCCAGCTCAGGTGAGTTCTATAAAATACAAGGTAAGTATACACATAAAATATACATAAAGCAATTACTATCCTGGCAATGATCAAGGAATTATTCATTTCGATAAAGAGTGTTCTATTTAAGCATGTGGACAAGTATCTTATTTTAGGAGGCTAAGCTCTTAACTTACGGAAGTGAATATTAAACAATGTATGTTTACATATTTACTCCTGGATACTTGAGAAGACTACTAGGAAAATAAATGAGGATTCACCTTTCAAGCATTCAAACAGAATTTATCATACAGTTTCTGTCAGCCGAAGATTGTGCTGAGTAAAATGAGGAATATGAAATACAAATCACATGTCTCAGGAAAATGTATTTTGGTAGGCAAAAACTTAAAAATACATACAAAACACAAAACATCAGTGTTCAGTAGTAGTTCACAGAAACAGGAAATTAGATTTGAAAGAATCAGCGAGTTCCGTATGGGTCTTGTTAATATAGCTGGAGAGGCTAGAGTCAGGGTCCTTTCCAGGAAGGGAAGTAGAACCTTGTACTGATAGCCAAGGCAGGAATGGACACTGTATGATCCAGATGTGAAAAGAGAGAAGGAACAACAAAAACAACGTGATTAAAAAAGAGAGAGACTTGGGAAATAAGACCACATGTGGAAATGTGCCAAGGGAAGAACTTGGACTTGATATAGGTGATGCAGCTTCTCAGTGAGGGTGGAACATGCTGAAAGTAGAATGTTAGGGTGTTCTGGAAGTCTGTCTCAGAAAAATTGGGCAGAAAATCAACTTAAAATACATGCATCAATTCGGGCAAGATACACTCAGAATATAGATCAAATTGTTGGTGGCATGGGATGAATCAAGAACATATGGGCACCGGCACTGTGGCACAGTGGGTTAACTCCCTGACCTGAAGCGCCCGCATCCCATATGGGCACCGGTTTGAGACCTGGCTGCTCCACTTCCAATTCAGCTCTCTGCTATGGCCTGGGATAGCAGTAGAAGATGGCCCAAGTCCTTGGGCCCCTACAACCACGTGGGAGACCCAGAAGAAGTTCCTGGCTCCTGGCTTTGGATCAACCCAGCTCCGGCCATTGTGGTCATTTGGAGAGTGTTCTTGCGGATGGGAGACCTTTCTCTCTGTCTCTCCCTCTCTCTCTCTCTCTCTGTAACTCTACTTCTCAAATAAATAAATAAAATCTTTTATATTTTTTTAAAAATAGGAGGAGAGAAATAATTAAACTTAGAGAAGAAATAAACATAATTGGCACAAAAAATGATCAGCGAATTTAAGAGCTGGTTTTTTGAGAAAAAAAAAAAAGTAATATATCATTGGCACAAGTAACCAAAAACAAGACAAAAAAAGGGAGAACACCCAAATTAATAAAATCAGATGATGTTACAACAGATACCACTGAAATAAAAATAATTATCAGGAATTACTATCAATAACTACATGCCAACAAAATGGAAAATTTAGAAGAAATGCATAGATTTTTGGACCCATACAATCTACCAAAATTGAATCATGAAATCCTAATTAGGCTAACAACCAAGACAGAGACTGAGTCATTATTAAAGACCCTCCCAACAAAGAAAAGCCCAGGAACAGATGGCTTCACTGCTGAATTCTACCATATTTTTATTTATTTCCAATTCTTCTCAAACTATTCAAAACAATTGAAGGGGAGGGAATCCTCCCAATCTCCTTCTATGAGGACAGCTTCACCTTAATTCCAAAATCAGGAAAAAGCTCAACAAAGAGAAAATTATAGACCAATAGCCCTGATGAACATAGATGTAAAAATCCTCAACAAAATACTAGCTAATTGAATCCAACAACAGATCAGAAATATCATTCACCCAAAGTGGGATTTATCCCAGGGATGCAGGGATGGTTTTTAAACATATGCAAACCAGTAAATGTGATATACCACATTAACACACAGTGGAGGATGGCCCAGGTCCTTGGGCCCTGCACCCTCATGGGAGACCAGGAGGAAGCACCTGGCTCCTGGCTTCGGATCAGTGCAGCACACTGGCTGCAACACACTGGCCGTAGCGGCCACTTCGGGGGTGAACCAACAGAAAAAGGAAGACCTTTCTCTCTGTCTCTCTCTCACACTGTCTAACTCTGCCTGTCCAAAACAAAAAACAAAAAAACAAAAAAAAAAAAACAACAGAGGCCATGTCCTTCCTGAGGCTTTCTTTTCCAAATCAGGATGACATAATCTATTTAGAATAAAATCTTGAGGCCAATGCTGTGGTGCAGCGGGTTAAAGCTCCAGCCTGCAGCACTGGCATCCCATATGGGCACAGGTTTGAGTTCTGGCTGCTCCACTTCCAATCCAGCTCCCTGTTAATGCACCTGGGAAAGTAGTGGAAGATGGTCCAAGTACTTGGGCCCCTGCACCCATGTGGGAGACTTAGAAGCAGCTCCTAGCTTCCTGCTTCGGCCTGCCCCAGCCCGGGTGGTTGTGGCCATTTAGGGAGTGAACCAGCGGATGGAGGACCTCTCTCTCTCTCCCTGTCTCTACCTCTCTCTGTAACTCTGCCTTTCAAATAAATAAAATAAATCTTAAAAATAAAGAATAAAATCTTTCTTATTACTTAGAGTCCAATGAATAATCACAATTGCAGTTCCCACATGATCTGATTAGTTTTTAGGACTGAACCAATTTGGTGGAAGTTGTATTTCATTTAGGCACTCACATGTTGGGCAGAGACAGCCTTAGGTTGATTTCTGTGTTAGTTGGGAATGAGCAATTTTCACACTCCTTGTTTGCTTAGAGAATACCATTCTCGTACTCATATAAGAGAAGCATTTTGTTTGAACATATACAGGCTAAGCTGGTTGCTGAAGCCAGTGAATCCTTGCCACAATGATAAAAGGTAACTACTGACTTCACTTTTTTTCTGGCCAGCAAAGAACTCTTCCAAATCCCCACACAGTTGATTCATGGAGGGCCTGGGTTTTGAACTCAGGTCTGACAAACTCCAGTGCTGTTAACTTCTGCCACATCCTAAACGTGCCAGGCACTTCCTAGTGAAAGAGTATTTCACTTGTTTCTACCTCCATTCATTTTTTTAAAATTGTAAAATACTTAGTAAAGAAAATAATCTTGTGATACTCACATATCTTTCCCAATCAATTTCTGCATAGAATCCATTTGGCGCCCCATTGCTTTTCTTCTGTAATAAATTTGAAAATAAATTTAGAAGGGAAATATTTGAATTAAACCAAGAACACTTAACTCATCTTTATTTAGTAAGAGCTATCAAAATCCAGCAGGGAAGGACAAATTAGAGCAGCCTGTTCAGGAACACATTGATGAATGTTAAATTTAGCTGCCACAACACTACATGGAAGAGTGTGCACACTTACTCCACAGAGGACTAGAGGACTCCTGGGCATAGGGATACTAACAGCTGTTCAAAGGTTACTCAGTTTACTAAAGAATTATCAGCACCTACAATATAATTTAATCCTCTAGATCTTCAGGGGATATAATCTTGTATATTTTAAGTGGAAACACTTTGACATCTATGCTGCTCTTATTTAGAATTCGTTCCAATCCAGAAGTACTGATCCCCATCATTAATTAATCTTTTACATTTCTTTCACTCACTCATTTTATTTCTAACCAGATCCTTCATCAAATATAAAGTAAGTAAGCTCCAAACTAGTTAATTCAGTTCCTAATTATTAAAAATTATGTTTTTCTGATCAAATGAATTTTCTTATCAAATTACTAAATAAAATTGGGGATTCACATTGGAATTCTCCCATCCACGTGATCTATGCCTCCTGTTACTGCACACAGATTGTGTGTCAGCATTCCTCTGTCTCTGGATTATTTTAGAGTTCTATTTTGGCCCCTAGTATAACCATGACATACAGTCACAAGCACTTGAGCAAGGATGTGGTATCCTAACATGAAAATTGCTCAGATTCTCTACTTGTAGTGAGCAAAGGACACAAACACGCATCAGGTTGGTAATGGAGTGTCCATCCAATTAACATTCCTGTGTTCAGCACATACAGCAATGGTACCACACTGAGCAGTAGCGGATCTCAGAACATGGCAAGCCCATTGGTGATGCACAAAGCTCAAGGACAGGACTTCCAATTTCGCAATCACAAACAAAGACCACTTGAACTGCCATGTAAGCAGTTAACACCCAATTAGACAAAAATGGTGGCGAGGTAAGCTTTAGACACCCCAGAACAGCCATCATTGTTGATGAACACTTCCTGAATGTTGACTGGGCATTCCAAGAACTAGCAGTGGCATAGGTACACAGTATGCAAGGAACAGATTAAATTCCTCTTGTCTTCTCTCTTATATACCACCATTGCACGGGAATTTGCAAATATAAGAAGAACCCTGCCATGTTTCCACAGACAGGAACATAGTGTCTGTGCCCAAGTCCTTTTGTGTCCTGCTCCTGAAAAAGATCATTTGTACTCAGGCTACAGCATTTTAGCCTTCTCTAGAATTTCCTTCACTGTACCAGTTTTTAGTGACAGTCTCTCTACTTTGAACAAAGATCTTTGTAAAAACCTGCCATATCAAACCTGCATGTGTGCCTTATGAAATTACTATTGAGAACTTGGTCCACTAAATAATCTGCCACTTAAAAAACAAAAACAAAAACAAAAACAAAAACAAAAACTCTTTCCCCTAGGAATCAGTGTGGTTCTTAATTTGCTTTTTGCCAAATTTGATTTCTTTTAAATTCCTACTTAATCAGTGTGCTTGTATATGACTTTACACACATAAATTCCTTTTCAGAATGCATTGATAATAAATAGGTTCAATATAAACAATTTGTAGCAATAGAAAATCAAATGGACTAAGCTGATTCCAGACAAGCAAACTCACAAGTTCTGTGATCTGCATGATACTGCTATCAACATACCTTTTAGTTCTTAAATTCCTTAATACAAAGGATTATTGTCTAAAAACCAAAGAGATTAGGTGAATTACTGTGTTTGAAATTTTCAAAGGCTATAGTTTGCTTCCATGACAATTTAATCTCCATAACTAAAGCCCATGAAAACCAAGATAGTTTATATGTTCAGATGAACAAATTATATACTTTTTTGTTCTTGACAACATATATCCAACATTGTGGATAAAGCTGCTTCTGAATTCCTAGATCTGAGCTGAATGAAGATTTATGTTTCCATGGAAACCAATGGAAGATTGAGGTGAGGGAAAAGCAAAATCTATAAAAAGGGATTTTCTTTCAAAATGGGAATTTTTTGGGAAACAAATACTAGACACAAACAACAAATCATAAAATACATTCTTTTTGCCAATATTTACACATACATACACATAAACACACCCACACATTTGACTTTATTAGAAGAACTGACAATTTAGTTTCGTGCTAATGGACTTTTAGAAATTTTTTGGATTTCAGAAGAGAAAATTATCAAATTAAATTCAGGCCAGAGCCTGGCTAGAATTCTTCTGGTCAAATTCCAAGAAAAAACTCCTCATTGTTCAGCCATTGAGCAAGAAATACTAAGATGCTCATGGTGGTGGTAATCCTGAAATAATGGCTCTGTTAGTTTTCAAACAGAAAACTTTGACGAGGAAGCAATGGAAAAGGTTAGTTAAGTGAAGAAACATCACTTAAAAACTAAGCCTGGCAGTGAAAACAATATCAGTTATGTATCAACATTCAAGGAGTGATTTTCCTCTTGGAGCTGTAGTTATACACTCTTTTACTTCTTTCTTTTCTGTATTTTTAAAAAAGTCTACACTTAGCATAAGCACATAATTTGAGTATATGCTTGTTATTTAAAAATACTTGAGACTCCCAGCAATATTAATCATATTTAAATAGGTGTTTGACTTTGCTTAGGCTTATTATCTGTTATCAGGTAATTTGATGGACTAATAATTGTGTAAAATAACAAATGTTTTCAATTGTACCCTCATCACAGTTCTCAATTTCTATTGTGATTACCCTTTTCTGAGGTCAGCTCATGTCCACATAGTGATTCTTGGGTGAGAAGTGTTAAAGATACGGGACACACTGCCTAAATAGCACCCTTTATCCACCAAGGGCCCGACTCACTTTGTATATAATTCTATAGAACAGCACCATACAATATAACTGTCTGGGAAGCTAGAAATGTTCTATCTGTGAACGGCCCAATATGGTAGTCATTAGCCTTGAGTAGCTATGGAGTAGCTGATATGTGGCAAGTGCAACGGAGCAACTGATTGTGAATTAAGCAGCCAATGGTGGCTATCATATTGGACAACACACCTACAGTTATTGCATAGCCTAGGCTAGAATCAGCATTGATATTATTGAGATAGTGTTATCCTAACAAATGACATAGTAATGTTTATATTTACATTTACCATAATCCTTTAGAAATTTGAATCCTGGTATTTTGCCTCAGAATATGAATCACATATCTTTTATGCCTAATCCCTCTTTAAGGGACTGCTTGGAAGTCAATGCATGGTCTGTATTGTTGATTTAAAAACTGACCTAGGGTGATCAAGAAGTATTTTGGAAATACCCAAGAGTCTTCTAAAGTGAAACAGTAAAAGCTACTGTGTTTTCCAAATTTCAAGTTGGGCTTTTACTCACTGTTTCTACAACCCCTTGGAAATTTTAAACTAAAATCTGTTTCCTTACCGAAACTTTTTTTCCTCCTTCACGCGCACATTCTGCTTTGTAATTGTAGGGTGGTTCATGTGGGCTGGGCTGCTGGAATTGATTGTTTTCATGTAGAAAAAAGTTGTTAAAGGATCTGTTTGTTCTTCAAGACACATATAAAGAATCACATGGAGTCAACAAACATACCATAGAAGAAACAATTTCTAGGCCAAATTGTCCGGCCTACCAATTGTGGCAGGGTTTTAAGTAGAGTAGACCTTGGGGCCCATAATGAGGCTCTATTCAGCAGGCCAGTTTGGTTAGGTTAGGAGTAGGAGCGGAAAGGAAGATAAGTCCCAATCACTAGGGACTACGCGATTGTAATCCTCATCAGTGAGCCCTTCGTTTACAAGCAGAGAACAGACACAAGGACACACAAGAAGAGACTGAATAAATATTGGTGTAGAATTTCTAATCAAACTATGAAAAGTTTAGCTCTTCCATATCTTCATGTGGATTCAAGGCTTTCTGAGGGTCACCAATGCACACAGCACGCATAGCTGACGATTCCGTATCTGCACACTTTCCTGTACACCTACTCAGGATGCACAGAAAAGGTATCACGGCAAGAACTGTGACACTGAGGCCGCAGCTCAGGTGTGGAGGGAAATCAGAACAGCTCAGGGAAAAGCTAAGTGCACCCTGTGCAAGCTAGAGATTAGTGCACCCTGTGCAAGCTAGAGATTAGTGCACCCTGTGCAAGTTAGAATCTGGGTGAGACTGTGTTGCCACACACAGCTGCCTAAAGTCTCAGGTGTGAAGATGGACAGCTCTGCCAGTGATGGACACCTTCAGGTACTGGAGCAAGGCCACCCACCTCCCTGCTCGCAGGCTTGCCATGAAGCCTCTGTAGAGTAAATCTCAGTAGCATTGCTAGAGATGGGCTTTTTTGGATTTGAAAGGTTCAGATGACAGCTTTTGTGTAGCCCTTGGGTTTACCAATAGCTTATACCCATTAGGTGTGTATACCATCATGAGCAGTTTATGGAACCGCATAGTTTCAACTTCAGCAACTGAAATCGGAAGCTATATCGGCTAAATAAAGTAGACTGGGTCCTTAGACACAAAGTCTTAAAGAACTCAGCCTGAGTTTGAAGAAAAATGAAGTTGAGACCTCTAAAGATTGAATGCAAACCGATATCTGGGCCCAAACAGCATTGATTTTCAAAATTTGGTGACCGTATGAGAGGAGAAAACTTGGAGAACATTTCCAAGCTAGTAGTGGTTCACAATTCCCACTGACTCATGAAGCTGTGCATCCTGTGTGTGAATATGCATTTATTTTGAATAACGCAGAACAGGTCTGTGATATTTCCTGAGAAATCAAAATTCAGTAATGCCTCATTTCTAAGAATCATGATGAGTGATATTAATTGCATGTCCATTATGTAACAAAGAGGACAGAACCACTAATACACAAATTCATTTGGCTTGGAATGGAGGAGATATAGGAGGGCTCAGAGAACTTGGGTCTGCAGCTCGGACCCTGGGCAGATGGTGCCCAGGAGGACTGCTGGGGTTCAGGGATGAAGCACACACTGACTGCTGCTTGTTAGACACTGGCTGCTGCACTAGGTTATGTGATGCCTCCCTTACGAGAGGCTGCAAGTGGTGCTCCCCAGAAGAACAGAGAACAACAAGGTAGCAGTGGAGCCTCTTAGACAATGAGTGGGGTGTCAGGAGAAAAGAAAAAAAGGACAAGACTGAGAGCAACAGAGGGAGAGAAGGAAGAAACAGTCGGGAGGAGCAAGGGTAGGAAGCAGAGCAGCTAACAGAGCCTTGCGAAGGCTGGAATGGGAGGGACAGGAGAATGCACGCAGGGCGCCAAGCCAGCAGCCAAGAGAAGACACAGAAGCAGAGAGTACCTGAGACAGAGTTAAGGAGAGGGCTCTGAGCCAGAAGCAAGAGGTGAGGAGAAGCTGCGTCTTCTGGATCTTTTTTTTCCCCTGCTGAATAGAGCCTTGATTATAGTGTTACCCAAAGTCTGATAAATTTCAGTCTATTCTCTTCACATTTCATAGCTAGAACCACATGAATGCAAAAGGCACCCCCAGTCAAGTGTGGGAGAACAACTCTTGCTAGAGCTGCAATGAACACCCCAATTTAGGTCTAATAATTTTATAAAGGGTGATCTTCGGGAAAAATATATTTTTAATCACAGCTTTATTTTAGTTCCCACTCCAGCCCAATGAGCCTAATGTGAGTCTCCCCCTCATTTTTTTTTCCAGTAACAGCTGTTCTTTTGAACCTTCTGAATAGGCGTCTGATTTAGATTTGAAGAAAGTCATTTTAGAAGTTGGTGCAGAATCCCAAAAACACAACTCAGATAGATGTGAGCCCATGCTCCCCAGACTTTCTCAACAGCAAGAAATCTGGCAGCCAGCAAGGAGTCTGAGTGACTCTGAAATCTAAACCCAGGGGACATGTTTCCCCCCCTTCGGGCTTTAATTCAGGCATAAGTGGTTTTAAGACCGTTCCCTCCTTTTGAATTTAATATAGAAAATACATTTGCGGTTCAAGTTCAAAAAGGGGAAGAACCTCTCTCAGTTTTATTGGATCTCAGCTCCATCATGACTTTGTGGCCTCTGTTGGAGAAAACCATCCTCACATAACGAGCTTTTACATCATTAAATGAGGAATGAAATAACAGCGGACAGTAGCAGCCTCTGCACACACTGCCTGGTGCTTGACCCACATCTTGATGGCTTGCTTGCTTACTCCGGCCGAGGGTTGCAGGTAATGGCAATAAATAGGCCTAACTTGACCACGGCTACATTTCTGTTCCATGCAATGACTAGGGAAAATTAGAACAGTGAGTGGTCTGAAAAAGCCATTCAAGCCATTTTTTTTCCCTATGGGGGGAAGAAAAGAAAGAAAAAAAGGAAAAAGAAAAAGAAATGGGGCTTTATGAAATTTAAACATAGCCTATATTATGGTGCAAAGCCACTAAAAGTGGTCATTTAAATACTTACAATTCCATCTCTATCTGGTGAACCTCTGTAACAAAAAGAAATTGGTAGCTATTATGAAAATGAATCATTCTTGCTCCACAGACTGAAGTACAACAATAAGAGTGATTAACCACCACCCTCGCCCTCCCCATGTTCCCACCGCAGTAAACCTGGCTAGTTAACACAAATCAGAACAAATTGGCTGAGTGATGTCTGAGTGTGGGGTATGTGTATGTTTGTGTGTTGAGGGGGATTCTCTTCAAAAACAGGTGCAAGAGGCATAAGTTGATGGCACAGCGCTTGGTTCATTTTTGAGAGGACAGTTCATTCAAGAATCTGCAGTCTAGCTGGCTCCATTTAAAACCACCACAAGGCATAGAAATCAATTTTCCCTCATCTTTTCCCCTGTGAGTGGTCCTGAATTGCATCCTGTAAGGTGAAACTGCTGGGCTACTTTTCAGGTCATCTTGAGAACCTGTACTTTCCTTGACATTGCTCTCTCCACCTCTCGTCCCATTCTGGAACTGGAGATGGAAATGGAGGGCATCATTTTGCTGCCTGACCCCCTGTGATGGCTGTTAGCCAGGCTCACCATTCTGTGGTAAACACTTTGGCGTGGTGCTTAGGGGCAAAGTCCCTGATATAAGATGAATCTGGGTGTCCAGGCTTTGTCACCTCATGGTCCTGTGACACTGAATGTATTACTCTACCTCTTGGATCCAGTTTGAATAAGGTGAAGTACATAATGGACTCAGAATAATTTCTGACACATATTAAGAATTTAAATTTAATTCTTCTCTCTTCCATGATGTCTCTTCGCTTGGATCACACAACTGCCCACTTATAGCCATACTGGGCAATGTGGAAGAGGGATTACTGTTACTCTGGGAAACTGAATTGGAGGATCAGAGGAGAAGGAAGCAAATGGGTAGTCACCATCCATTTGTAAATTCTGACTTTCATTCACTCTATAGGAGCTACAATATTTATATCATTGGAAAGGACCAGATTTACGTTTGAAAGAAAATCTTAAGTGCTTGAGATGGACTGTGGTATCTAAAGGACATTGATGGGTTTGGAATAAAGAGGAGGTAGCACCAGGTAAGGAATTTTTTTTTTCTTTATAGGGTGGGACCAAGAGAAAGGGGAGGAGGAGAGAGATGCAGAGAGACAGAACACACACACACACATACACACACACACAGAGAGAGAGAGAGAGAGAGAGAGAGAGAGGCAGAGAGAGCAAGAGAGACAGAGAAATGCAGAGCTTTGTTGAGGCATTACCTGGGCTCCAAGATGTGATTCCCCTCCCCCACAAATACCCCTTTAAAATGAGCAGAATATTCCACTTCAATTACAAAACACTTCACTAAGTGTTTCATTTTTTATACAGCAAATTCATGATGCAAAGATACATCAGCAAGACAGGAGCTGCAGAAGAAAGGACTCAGATTTTGAAAGTCCCTGGGGGTTGACAAAAATCTTGGCTTCTTCGGACACTCCTTTGGCATGGGAATGAAGTGATTCAAATAAATTTTCACTAAAATAGGAGGATGAGGAGAATCTCAGCTGATAAAACCTACAGTTAACCAAGCGAGCATTCTGTGTCAATAATGAGCTAGACACTTGGCGAGGCAATGATAAAACTAATAAGGAAAACTGGCTCATCATAGACAGAATGAGGCAGGCAAGTGCATCCAGTGAGCCACCACAGCCATAGTAAGCACAGGCTAGCAGGAAAGCACAGAGGGCGAGGACCAACTCAGTTTCATGGAAATCAAATCTTTATAACAAAAAATAGGAGCGTTTCTTATCAGGACTTCAGCCTCTCCTAAAGGACTGAGAAGAGAGGTGGTGGTATCAGTTTCGGGTAGAATATTCAGAGGCACTGATCCTTGTGGGATGCCTTTGGGGACAGCAAGCTTTAGATGTGAAGAAGAGTTGGAGATGGGCCCAGCTGTGGTGTTGCCCACAGTTGGTTCAGGTACAAGGGCCTGTCAAGAGAGAATCTTAGGGGGAGGCCATGTGATCTCATGTCTGCTGCAGTTCTCAAAATGCCCTTTCAAAATTTTTAGTCAGAAAAACTGAAATTGTGCATAACAGCATTGGCGCCCTATTCCCATCCCTTATCTTATCTATTGATGGAAATAGGGCTGGTGCTTTCTTATAAGGAGACGGTGCACACGGCAGCTAAGAGCATTGCGTCTCGTGCTAGACTACTTAGGTTTAACCAATGTAGATTTCCTAAATGCAGAAGTATGAGCAAGTTACTTCACCCCTGTGTGTGTCTCAGTTCCCTCTTGCATCAAATGATAACACGTACCCCATGGGGCTATTAGAAGATCCAGTGAATTAATTTAAGAGCCTGCAACAGTGCCTAGCCCATAGTAAATACTCATTATATGAAATCTGGAATAACAATTACTATATAATCTGCCCTAGCGTGGGGAGTGTAGAGATTTTAGCAGCTCAGACACCTGGGTATGTGTTCTAAATTCTTACCCCAATACCCTCCTATGAAGCCTTACATTTTGTTTTAAAATGATTTTTTTCTATTTAATGGCAGCTCCATTCTATTTACTGATTTCTGTTTTAAAACGGATCATCCACTCTGGACCTTCCATTTTTTAAAGTTTCAAATTCGTCTTGTAACCATTGCCTTTTCTGTTTTACTCTTCTGTTTGTCTGGATTATAACTGTACCCATTGACACTTTTTGTTCTGGATGATACAAGTATAGGCACTCGGTTCTGGACTGGAATCCTGGCTCTAAGTCCCATTTTCTGGGTGGCCTTCAGCAAGTTACTTAACTCCTTTTGGCACTGATCTCTCATCTCTAAATTTGAGATATTACTTCTAGCTTTATTGAATTACTGAGAGGATTAAAAAGGATATCAGTGCAATAAATATCCTGCACGGGGCCTGCCACTTAGCACAGCCGATCTCTCTTCCTCTCCAGCAGACACTCCAGTGATGATCAAATCAGGAAGCTCTGGTCCTAACCCCGCCCTCCAGCTATGAGGTTCAGTCAGCTGAAGTTGGCCTGGCAGCTACCCTAACTGGTTGCTTAGCAACTCTGAGCTGGTTGCAAGAGCTCTGAAACAGGTTTGCATCGACAAGGTTTCAATGAGCTCAGATGAACATACGCATCATCCAAAGCTGAAGGGACAGCAAATTGTCAGAGCATTTTCCCAACCCCTTTGCATTTATGATTTTTTTTCTAAGAATGATATGTGATCCAATTAGAGAGTGATGGCTCCTGAAAAGCAAAGGCTTCTACTCCACAGCTTATTCTTTGACCATCACTGATGGGCCAATCTACAGCTAGCTTGACATAATGTGAGTATTCTGGGCCTCTCACATGATAAGAAATTAAGCTTGGGATTCTGTAAACAAATGTCTCCCTGGGGTCCCTCACAGAGTTCCCAGGCATCTCCCTAAGGCTACGAGGAATAACTCACTTATTTTCGTAGCTTTGGAAATGAGGGTAGAAGAGCAGAGTTTTGGTCACATGTGAAAGAGCTCGGCTTGCCCTGGGGAGGTTGTCTAACCTTCTTCTTTGAAGACAGCCTTTTTTGGTCTGTCTTTATTCACACACCAGAACTCTCTAGGGTACAGTCTGTTGCAGACATTGTCTTCATAGGAAAACAGACTTGGTTTCTGCTAATGCGTTCCCCAAGAGGCATGCAATAGTGTCCCACAAAACACATGCAATGCAGGTGTCCCCAGCTGTTGCTGACAGATTGACAGGTACGGGGTCTGGTCCTTTGGGAAAATCAGATTCCATCTAATCCAACGTAAACTTTTATTTCTGCAGATGACGACACTGAGGCCCAATGGCAGAGGAGAGTATAATTCCCGAGCCCACGAGCTGTGGGCGGCACTGAGCCTAGAGCGTCCCAACACTAACGCAGGGACCATCCTCATTCTGGCAGGTGAATGTTTCAAATATGGCCATGCAAATTGTATAATCCTTAGGAAAAGATTCCTAACTCAGTCCTTTAGAAAATCTTCAGACCTACAGTCAATGCAGTTTTCATAAAATATGCCCAAAAAGAGAAGGCACAAAGAAAACCTAAGAACAAAAGAGCTGAAGACTTAACATTTGGCATGTAGACAAAAAGATAAATTTCTCCCTAGTCCTTCAAGCTCGCTGGTTTAAAATCCCACAAGGCTTCAAGGAACCACTGCCTAAGGATGGAAGCCCAGCACCTGAGCCAGGCCCCCAGTTTTTCCAGCTTTGCCTTCCATCATAACCTTTCTGTGCAGCTCCCACACAAACTGGCCCATTTGTCTTGTCCCGAATGCCTACAGCACTTTTCCACCCATCTGCTTTTCCCTGGCACAAAACACTTCTCCTCATCTCCTTGAAGGCCAAACTCAAGGATCCTCCTGCCTGGAGGCATCCCTGATCATCAGTACAAATAGGAGCTTCCTCACTCCCAAACGCCCATGAACTTCAAATTGCTTGTGGGACTTTATTACATATTAACTTATATTGGCAATAATAAGAGCACTAGCAACTGCTTTTACTGAGCACTTAGTGAATACCAAGTACCATACTAGACATTGTGAGCATGTTTTCTCATTTATTAAAATGTCTTCCTATGAAAGATCTTTCCATTAGTATAGGAGATATTTTATTCCAAGAATTATAAGCTCTTGAAGCACAAGGACATGCTTAGCACTTTGAGATGAAAGTTGTGTATCAAAAAAGGTACACAATGAAAAGGTTAAGATAAACATGGCCTTCTTCATGTTCACCTGTGCCAAAACAGCTAACTAATTTTCTCATTTTCTTACATTTTTTAAGGATTCTGGTCAACACAGGGGTTTATAGGCTCCACTCTGATATATAAGGGCTCTCTAACAAGTCAATGGAAAATGCATATTATGGAAAACCTACAAGTGGGTTTCGTTCATCTAACACCACAATAAACTTAATTCCATTTTTTCCACAGACTTTATGAATAGCCTCACCCAATAAACCACCTCAGATCTGCATTTCCACCTGCTCATAAGCAGCTGTGGCTGAGCAGCAGTACTATCCTTACTCTGGGCATGAGTAGAATCCCAAGTTTCTGGCCAGCTGATTCATATATTTTAAGTTACCTGCCTGGCTCAAAAACGCTCCTGAGATTTTTGTGTCAGAGCCAAATATTTCTGAAGGAAAATGCAACATGATCAAATAAGTGGAATGAAACTGTCATGTCATTAGACATTTTCAAGAATCTATTAGTGTCCACAGGCAGTTCTCTCAGACGCGATCATTTAAGCATGTAAAAGCATTCTCGTGGTTGTTTCTGGAATTGGTTTCTTTACACCCAAATAGCCAAGTCATTCCTATGACTTCTGTTGGTTGATTGACAATTCTGCTTGCCATCTCTAGTAAGAGCTTTGGGATCTTATTTAGTCTACATTTCTGTTTCTGGCTAGATCCCATTTCCCTGAGCAAGTGTTTTGTTGTCTAGGAGCCACCCAAGATGTGGAAACGAATGCTTTTCATCTCCCACAAAAGTATACGTTCTGTCATACTCTCTGTCCCCCAAAACTGCTGAGATGTGTGGCTATCAGAGAGTAGAATCATATGATTGAAAAGTTCACTTTTGTATTACAAATCTATGAACTGTTTATGCTGAACAGCACGTTTATCCAGAAATGGGGAGAGAAGCAGAAAATTACATGATGCTCAAGGAAACTCCGCAGCGGTATTCAAGTGACAATGACAACAGCTTCTGCAAATAGTTTGCTTTAGAAGGCAAATTTTTAAAGCACGTACGTAGAATCAGTGTCCTTTTCTTTCTTCCGTATTCCAAAGGCCTTTCTTGTACGTTTTTTCAATCCTGTGGGAAAACAGCAAAGGGTCAAAGAAATTTATGAACAGCATCCAAGTGAACATACATTGAAAGTTGCAACACAGCTTTGATTCTATGTCTACGTATGTGTGTTTGCATGCGTGTATGATTCATTATTACACTTTACAACTGATATTGAACCAGGACTTGGCACTGTGAGTTCTTTGCACTGCAAGCAACATATGATGTATGACTCTGGAGACGACTGCAAGGTTTTCTTAGAGTACAATAATTCATCACCCAAACTGGGGCTCTGCCAAGAAGGCAAGTCACAGATTCATAGGAACAGCCATTTCCAGGTTGGATATATTCTTGAGTCTGAGATAATACCAAGATGCAGATCATGTGAACCATCCCAACAGAGCTGCACTGAGGTGACGCATCCACGTGTCCCATGTTCCCATCTCACCCTTTGCTGCCTCTTCAACTCTGTGGCTAGGCAGGGTGATCCACCACTAGGTGAACATACCGGATCTCTTTCTTGCCTGGTCCTCACCCCTGATTTAGAATTTCAATCCATGTTCAAGGCTAGGCCAAATTCCCCCTCCTCTATGAGGGCTTCTCGATCCTAGTGATGGACAGTGACTCTTCAGCGCATCTTCCAAATGTTGCTTTTATATGTATTATGATATATCAAACAGCACCACTTACTGGTTCCTATCACAGTTTCCCTGATAGACAGTGAGCCTCTAATAGGATAGAGGCCAAGGCTCCCTATTTGTATGTCCCCCTCACCTCATACAGATACCTCCCAGGAAGAGGCCTTCTGGCAAGAGGAGAGTAAGACGACCTGTTTCTTCCATCATGACGGGCCATGCCCAGTCTTGGTTCTCCCATTCTTATCCTGACAAGGCCCTGGGTTTCCTATTTCCTATATGTTCCATAGTTCCTTATGCACATTGCTTGTGACTCTTCTGTTAAGGAGTTTGCATCGACTATACTAAAGGCCCATGTATTCAAAACCTTAAATTTGTTGCTAATAGTTTGGAAAGTCTTCCTGAAAACCTGGAGCTAGAAAAGCCACTGATATTTCTGGATTTGTTTGGCATTACCATGTGGAACAAAGGGGAAAACGCGGGCAGAATTAGTGATTTGATGCCACCTTCTTCCAAAACATGTGAGTCAGCCCAAACTGCTCAGCTTATCTGAGTCATCCATTATCTGCCACTTAGTGTGCTACACAAATACAATCTCCAAGCCGTCTCTGTTCAGTCTAATTTTGCATTTTAATAGTCATTCCATTTAAGATGTTTAGCTCTTTAAAATGTCAATGTTGGTTTAAAGGAAAAAAATACTCCTCCCACACAAAATTTTTCTCTGCTATCCTCTGCATGAGAAGTTTGTCAGAAAACTTATTGACATTTAAAACTACCCACCCCTAATATTTATGAACACCTTACTCTTTTCATTTGTAATTTTGCCTGCTAAGAACTTTCTTTATTTTCATCTATAATTACTTTATTCTTTTATAGGGATAAAATATCATAGTTACATAATCATCATTTTCTTCCTATAATTTTTCTTAGATTTCAAGTTTCTTAAGTGTTTTCTTTACATTTCAAATTTATCTTTGAATTCACCATGAATGCTATGTTAACCACTTCACTACTGGTTTTATAGGATTATAAAATCAAAACTATTTTTATCTGATGTTTTCAAGCACTTTGTTTCCTGTAACTCCACCCATGAGGTAAGAGATAGCATACCCTATCAAGTAGATCAGAACATACACACAAATTCCAGTAATTTTTTTGTAAATTTGGAGCCAAACAAGCAAGAGTAGTTTTCCACAGACCTGGCCCTGATTTTGACCATGAAATTTGGAGAAAGCCAATATGAACTGAGTCATTAATGCTGTGAGTTGTCAATTCTCCAATAAAAAGTACACTGGATGAGGAGTTAGGAGGCAGAGAGTCCATCTACAGCATCATTTCTCATCACGTATTTTAATACAAGTTAGATTTTTTCAGTTTTAATCTGTCAGTGAATAATTAATCAGCCGGTTGTAAAAACTGCAAGAATTTACATACCTCCACAAAATGGCAGGCAAATCTGTAGCTTCAGTTCTACTGAAAGCCATGTTTCCAATACATGGAATCGACTTACATGTGGAACACACATAGGAATATATAAAATACGTGAAATTACAGAGCAACTCAAATTATTGAATAGGAAAAAACATGGAAAACATCTTCTGCTATGAAAAGTGGAAATATCTGGGAAGTTTAAGTATAAAAAATCTCTGAAAGACTAAAGCAAATGAAGATATAAAATGTAAGTCACTCCTGTTTTACAGATCTTTGAGAAGCTCCAAGAAGAAACCACCATACTGCAAGGAGAAAGACGGACGAACAGGCAGTTGGGTGGGTTCAGGTCCCCTTCAGAGCGAGGAAAGGGGAAGTCTCTTTACAAGGATGCAAAATGCTTGCTTCTCCCCAAAAGCTCTTTTCAGCAAAGTGAAAGTGCCCAAGCCCACTCCTGAGTTTCCAGTTTTATTACAAGAATATCAAGGAAGCTGTGATTCTACCCTTCTGAGTTTTGGTTATCAGGAAAATAGAAGGGAAAAGTTATCAATCACACATTTCTGATGGCTTTTGTTTTACATGAGCAAGCTAGGCAGGATAGACAGGGTTACAAATTCAGCCTTTTGATGGTCTTTGTCCCCATCCTCTGACTGTTAGCTGCTGCTCTGTTTTTCTCTCCAAAATTGTGCTTAAAAGATTCCACTTGCACTGGTTTCTGGGGTCTTGCTCTCTTGCAGCACCCCCTCTGCTTGGTGTGACTTAATTAAATCTTGCTTTGCTCACTGCTTTGTCTGCCTGGAAATTTTTCTTTCATGTGAGACAAGAACTAATGTCAGCTGTCTTTGCCGTTATTTTACATGTTATCATATCAACTACAATAGAAGTGAATGGAGAGCTGTGGTCTTTAGAGAGTTAATAAAAAAGCTCAAATAAACTCTTCAAGAGAGAGAAATGATGGTCAAGACTCTTATAGGAACAGTAAACTTAAGACACTGTATCCAATAATCTGATCAACTTTAAAAAACATTATATCTAGTGATTTTCTACCTCTAACTCCATAAAATTGTGGAGAGATTGAAGTCATTATCTTTGGTAGAATTCTTTCCAGTGTGGGACATGCATTTTTTTTTTTTTCTTAATCTTTGCCAAAAGTGAAAGGGTGAAGGTTTGGGGTTTTTTGAGAACTGAAATGACTCTTCGCTTGCCAATATCAAAACAAAGATCTAAAGGGAGAGAATTGTATTCCTCTGCTAATCCAGAGCTCGAGTGCTTCTCTCGCAAGCTGGGGAGTTGCAAACACTTTCCTGGACGGACCCAGAGCTGCAGTGTTGGATCAGCCACACCGGAAGTTGCCTCACACCTCTTGTTTCTCCACCTAATATAGATTCCTTAAGTGTTACGGGAAAAGCTAGCCAAGTTTGGAAAACAACCATAAAAAGATTAAAATTAGATTGATTTCCAAGAAGTTCAAAAGCATTTTTCAATTTGGGCAGTCCTAGACATGATATTACAGGATAATTAAACAAAGTAGCAGATATAGAAACTGGTGGTAGTGAAAGTGCAAACAGCAGCAAGTGGGAAGAAGTTTCATCATTACAATGGTGCTAGCTGCCACTTCAGAGGGACTAGGTGCTAGCTGCATTCTTTGTCTCAGGTAAACCTCTTTTAACAAATGTGTGAAAAAGGAGGCCATGTTTTTTCCTCAAGTATGAAGCCTGAGGATTGGCTGAAGTTAGTTCTCAACACCATCAGTTCCAGAAATAAACCTGGAGGCCCCGCCTCTTCCACGTCTCTCTACATGTTGGGATTCTGCAAGGCTTTGTCCTACATTCTTCTATACCTCTGCCTGGGGCTAGTTCATTCTTCATGGGTTTCATTTGCCATCATCCAGCTTTTCTCTTTCACCTACCAAATACTTACAAAAATCTTTGCAGGGACAGGCATTGGCTCAACAGTTAAGATACCACTTGGGACACCTTTCCACATCTGAGTGCCTGGGCTTGTGTCTCAGCTCTGTTCCCTTTTCCAGTTGACTATGAGCGGGCAGTGATGATGGATTGAGTAATGCGATCCCTGCCACCTGTGTGTTAGACCTGGATTGAGTTCCCAGCTCTTGGTTTTGGCCTTGCCCATACTGTTGGATTTGGGTAGTGAACTAGCAGATAGGAGCTTGCTACATCTGTCTGACTGTCTGTCTTTCTCTCTCCTGTTCTGTGCTTATCAAATATACAAGACAAATGCATTTTGAAACTTTTTTAAAAAGTAGCACTTTTTAAAAAGCCATTAAACACAAACATATATTTATTACATTGTTTGCTTCCTTGATCTTTTCTCATAAGATGACATTAATCCCATGAGATGGTAAATTCTATGAAGTCTGAAACCCCATCCATGTGGTGTCTTAGTTATTTTCATCTCCCTATATTGTTGCAGGTATAGAACATTCTTTAAAATCATTTGCTCAGTTGTATTATTAAAAGAAAGGCATTATTTTTCAATCTGCTTTTCAATGTGCAAGTCAGGTCCCACAGGGAGTTTACGAAATCAATAGGTTAGGTTGAAACCTCCATTCAAAAATAAAATAGAAAAGAATAAGTGTGTATGACCTGTTGAATACAGTGCTGGCCTTAGTGGAATCTGTAGTAAGTGTAAGTATACTTCAAAAAGTCCATAGAAAATGGAATTAAAAGATAAATCTATTTAGGTACAAAAATTTTGAAATCTGTGCAGGATGAAGCTTCAAAATGTTCATGGAAAATGCATATTTTGAAAAAAATTATATATGAGTTCCAAAACATTTTTGCATCAAAATAAGCTTATGTTTTACTTTAAATTTTCCATGAACTCTTCGAAGTACTCTTATGTTTGCAAACTGAGTGGTAATATAAAATACATTTTTATAATAGGTTATAGTCAAAAAGTTTAGAAGTCTTTTATTATTTAATTTTTTAAAAATAAAACTTT